GTCTTAGCTCAATCGCTCTCATTAAACACCTCCAAGACAACTAGACCACTGAATTATACACCATGTAGCAAAGGGCTCAGTGATCTAGACTCAATCTAACTATTTCAGTCTAAGTAAAATGATGATTTTATAAATCAGATACAAACAATGCCTCTAATGTGTCCGGGAGCCTGCCTAATATACGTCAATGAAAACTCGAAAATATTTACTCACCTCTTTCCCCGTAACTACGTATCGGTCTAGATGTTATATGAAATCGGTAAACACGTATATAATATTTGCTTTTACAATGGACTGATGCACTGATCATAAATTGTATTATATACATATGTATTTAGTCTATTTTTAGGTACTTTGGATTGCAAGCAATCTTTGACAGACAAGCAGATTAAGATCGACCTATGAAAATTCTATTTCATTTTTTCAAGCGTCTGTTGAGCAAATATGTACCCGTGTGAATTACCCCCTCCCCCATTACACAACACTATTAAGTTAAAAGTCAACGTACTATTGCCAAAGTTCTGGGAAAGGAACAGTTCACCTTCGAGATTACAATTGAAAGGAGAATGAAAGTAAAGAAAAATATTAAATCTTAGTCCTTTACATGTATTGGCCTATTCATCATCCGGTTAAGGGAGTTGAGAAGTAGTTCGATTTATTATAACTTCGGGTGGTTTAGGGGCTGTTTGCCTCAATTTCATAGTCGTACAAGATATATAATTTTAGCTTAAGATACCTGAAGATCATTTGAACCTACATATAGTATGATGGCTACCAGGTAACATATAGCAATGGACTGAGCAGTGTAAAATAACAATACAGTATAATTATCTCGGAATACCAGAGAAGTATTGAAATACTCTGATCCGCATAATAGACTATCCTTCGTAAGAACAATTTGAAATCCTTAAAGATGACTAAAGACTTGTTCCGATATGGCGCGGTATTTTAAAGCTGCCGCATAAAAACCCTGACAGTTTTGTACATGTAAATTAATGGCAATTAAATGCTAACAACAAAGGTCCTAAGCGTATCCATTATATGTGTTAAAAGATAAAGACATGTGAAGTATGTTACAGCTAACATCATCATCAAAAAGATGCATATCTGAACGAGACTGTCTCGCAGTGTGTACCTCATCAGGTAACCTAGTAGACGGGCCACTCTACAAAGATTTTGGAAACCCTGATGACCTTAATTAGTTAGATCGAGTATGACCATCAAACAGTTTGGAATACCTGAAGATTATTTTAACAGAGTATGATTGTTAACAGGTTGCATTGGACTAACCATTTTACCAACAGTTTCGAATGAAACTGTTTGTCTAAATGAAAATGGACCTTTGACACAGGTTTTTCATAACTTCGTCTTTTCAGCTGTTCTCGATAGCTGCTCAAATGACATGACCGTCCACTGCTTGATGTGATCAGTCCATGTCCTTGTTGGTCTACCCCTCTTTCTTATCCCATCAGTTCTTCCTTGCAAGGTGGTGTTTTTCAAGCTATATTCTCCCAACTAGTTACACGCCCAAACCAACGTAGCTATCTTCTTTTCACATTTGTGATAAGGTGAATAATAATAATAATAATAATTACAGTGCTTATATAGCGACTAACACTTACTTTGTCAGAAGTCTCTAAGCGCTCTACAATAATGCAACATAATTACCCTGGCTTTAGCAGTGCAGCTGTTACGCGCGCTGCGTTTCAAGGAATAAATTCCTACCAGGTACCCATTTACTTCACCTGGGTGGAGTGTGGCAAATGTAGATCAATGTCTTGCCAAAGGACATTAGTGCAGCGGCGGGACTCGAACCGCGGAATATGTTCCCCTATATAACTCTCAACTATCTCTCTCACTTTTTTTTGTCGGGTTAGTAAGTAATGTCTAAATTCTGCAACTCCGTAAATGTACAATCGATGTATCTCTCTGGGCCGACATGAAATGTTTTTTTTTGTATGTTTATATCGGTATGCCAGTCAGAGTATATCCTTGTAACTTCATGGAGATTTAATACACGAAATCATATACCAAATGTGAATATGTAAATGTTACGAATGTTTTCTAGAACAAATCTATCTGCCGTATACAACATAGCATTTGTCTCTTGCAATGGGTCCATATGTAAGTCCTGGTGCATCCCTATTCCATTTATGATGGGGGTGATAAAGCAAAATTGTCCAACTAGTGTAGTTTTCAAAACAATTTTCTAACAATCAAAGAAACAATACTCAGATTTTGACATTTTCCAACAGTGAAGGCAAGAAGAGAAGAAAAAAACTTTCTAATTTCTTTCTCTCAAGTTTTTAGAAGAAAAACGATGGAAACAAGAGGCAGTGTCATAACTGTCATTTTCAGATGTATACACATTAAAAATGGGGCTAAATGCGATGTCACACTGACTTCAGGTCCCTCATTACTGTTATTAAGTCCCCTGTCTAAGTTTGAAAATGTTTAAGCACTGACCAATTCATGTAATATTTAATTTAATTCTTTTGATGATGATCATCGAGATACATGTACTTCTAACTTTTGCCTTTGGTTTTAGCGATACGGGATTTCGGCAATAGAGTTGCTATGACAACAGTCAGATGAAACGCCAAAATCTCCTAGGGAATTCAGTTTGCAGTTTTTAAAGATATCTTTAATAATTAACAAGAAAGAAGCTAAAAACAATTAAAACTAATATAAGCACACACACGCACTCACCCACTTCCACAATATACCCACATTCTTGTTTGCTCTAACACACATATATTATTCATAAAAGCCCCCACACATCCACTAAGTCTTCCAATTTCTTCGTCTTGTTCAACATCTATTTCGACCATCCCTTCTTCTTCTTAAATCATCTATATCCTTCATTCTATCTTTTTATGTCTACATCATCAATGTTCCTCAAATTCTCTTGTACATTTTGTCATAAACATGTATCTCATAATCCTCTCTTTAGTTTTACAAGCTGTACAAAATAAACGTATTTTATAGTTCTTATGATATTCCGAAAGTTTGCTAGCCTGAAAAATTTTCGAACATCACTTTTTAATAGTCAGTCCAAAATCACATTCAAGTTTAAAGGGCAATCCAACTATAAAAGAAAGCAGACAAATCAGAGAAGTAGACAGAAGAAAGTTTGAATGAAATCTGACAAAACATAAGAAAATTATTTCATAAGAAAATTTTCCAAATTATTTCACAGTTGTAATCACGTTGCGTATAGGCAATACAAATTGGCTGTCACTCACGTAGCGTCAGACAACTTTCCAATTTTTGGCAACACAAAAAATTAGTAAAAACGTCAATTTCTCAAACTACAAGATTGGGGGTCTATTTTTAAGAGGAACTATAATAAAATGCCATATTTTATGGCGGCGGCGGTGCTTGAGTAGGCGCCATTTTACTTTAAAAAGTGCCCGTTTCCTTTAGTAAATTCCCCTTTCCCTTTCTTAGAAGTGCCCCTTTTCAGGTGCCGAAAGTATCTCTTTTTTTACCTCTGATAAGTGCCTCGTTTACTTTGACACGTGTCCCTTTTGCTTTCTGATAAGTCCACTACCTTTTTGTAATAACATTTCTTATAAATGCTCCATTTCCACCTCTAATAAGTGACCCTTTCCAAATCTGATAGGTTCCCCTTTTACTTTTTATAAGTGCGTTTTCCCTTCTTAGCCTAAGTGCCCCTTTTCAGCTCTGATGAGTGTCCGTTATTAGGTATGAGAAATGCCCTTCTTTTGTATCCCTTTTACTTTCTCGGGTGCCTCTCTTCCTATTTAATGAGTGCTTTTGAGTCGCTTTCCAAGGGAGAAGGCACTTACGGGAAATTAAGATATTATTGATACTTTTTACATCAAATTTATAAATTTATTTCAATCATTCTCGCATCTGTTTCTCTCATTTCTTGCGTTAAAAAAATGAAATTATTACTCAGGTTAGATTAACATTTAATTAATGCGACTCTCTTGCAAGAAAGCTCTTTCAACTGTGCGATTTCTAAACTAGATGTAAAATTCAGACTGAATTCTATGTGAATCAAAATTTATTTGGTAATCAAACTAAAACTATTTACAATACCCCATGAAAGTTGTGGTGGCTACCGTATTGTTCTATGTTGTATTATATCCGGAAAACAGAAAAATTATCTACACGTAGAGGAATACATTTCATATATAATAGTGTTACAACATTACTATGGTGCACAAGCTCCCTCTAGCGTAAAAACTGCTTCCCTTTTTATACACATTTGCAAATCATCTCGTAGACACTACATATTTTATATTTTGTTTTGTAAAGACATGTCATCAACACATATATTTCTACTATATAAATTGTCGTATTACTAACTAAACTTTTGTTTCAATCCAATTCAATACATCATTGAAATTTATGAATAACATACATACGTGTACATGGAATAATAAATTGTTCCACTAAAATAATAACATACATGTATATGCATTGGTACAAAAATATGAAAATTGCTTGGTAGGTAGAAGCCAGAAAGGAAATGACCTTTATAAGTGGCCGACCCAAGGAAAATACAATCAGTTCAATATGAAGATTATAGTATCATGACCAAAGACAACATTTGTCCCACAAATAAAAATACGCATCACAGTGCATGTCATAACTTTACAGATCAATGAAATGGGAAAAAGGTTCTAATTAAAATCGATATTTGCAAGAATAAATTTAAGTTATTTTGTTTTAATTCCTTTTTATGTTTGTTTTGTTATTCAGTTTAAAATATATGCTTGTCATTATCTTGGTTAGAAGCCGAGTTGATAAACGTTCTGAGATATATTTTTGTAACAGACTTCTTCTGTTAAAAGGGTGGGGAGGGGTCCTTCTTTCAACGAAATATTACATTACTCTGAATTTGTCAACGTACATGCTTTTTAAACCAGATAAAAAGAGTCTGGTCGCACATATCAACCCCGCTCTTTATACGGGCCCGAAGACAGTGGTATCATACAGTGCAAGAAATGGGGAGTCATCCGTCATTTTCAGTGGAATATATAGAGTCTATCAGAGGTGCAGAAAGCGATCTCTCCTGATCGGTACTGCTGGAGACAGTACCACTCTCTCTCGGGCTTCTCAATCTTGTAATCAACGACGATGTTCTGGACATGCTTTAGCTCGTTAGTGTACTCATCAATGCTGACCAAACCTACATCGTGATTCAACGAGGCTATCAGGATTGTATTCCATTGAGACACAGCAGCGTATGGGAAATCACCTAATTTTGCTAATTCATATTTTACAACACCTTGTTTGTCAATCAATCGTATTGTATTACCAAATGAGATGATCATGTAATCATTATAACTAGTAATCTTCTCAGGTTCATACCCCTCACATGGTATCTCCCTGATCGCCTTCCCACCTGCTGGTGAGAATACCTGGATCTTTTTGCCTTTCCTGTAGCTAACATAGATCTGATCATCACTGTCTACAATAAGGTTAGCAAATCCACCTTCATCGTGACTCAGAGTCTCAAATATTACAGTCAAATTTGTTTGCTCTAGTGTGTACAGTGTGATATTGTTTGAGCAATCAAGTATAACATACCGATCATCAGAAAGAAATCCTACTGCACGAATCTTAACGTCTTTGAAAACTGTATGCTGGTGCTGACCATCAGCAGAGAAGATCTCCACGCCACATGTACTACATCCCACTGCCATCCTACCGTCTGGTGTAGCAACCATGTCTTCCATGCTATTCTTAGTAGGCAAAGCGATGTTGTTTGCAACTGCATTTACGATCTTACCAAGAGCTAACTTGTCCAATCCAACGTTTCTTTTAAAACTGACACTTTTTCCTTTCTTGCTCGATTGCCTCGGCTGCTTGTAGTCAGGATCTTCTTGTTTTAAAGCCTCTTGCAAGTCTTGACATAGATTGTCATGTGCAGCCAAAGCATCCATATCTAACGGTATCTTTGTCCTATTGGTTACCACATCAGCTATGGTGGTCAAGTGAGTGAAGTGCTCCTGAGTCGATTTCTTCATTTCATCCAGATCTTTCTTTACTCTTTCGGTCGTACCCTTAACTTCACCAATGAGGATTTCTTTCTTCTCTGTCAACTGCCGGACTGATTCTTCATATGCTTTGTTGATATCATCTGTACACTGCTTCTGAACATTGCTCACACGCTCCTTCTGTTCGTCGATGAAATCAACGTATTTCTGAAAGCAAACGCGTTTCTTGTCCGCCTTGGATTTGAGGTCCTCGATACTCTTCATGTGACTGCTTTCATACACAGCTGCGTCGATGACTCGATGTCCTTCGTTTGAATGCTCCATTACAACACACCTGAAGCAGGCGAATCTCCTGCATTCGGAACAGAAGCACTCCTCATCATCTTGAGGGTGTTTCTTGCATTTACGGTATCTACGTACTGACATCTTCCCTGATAGGATCTCACTCATGGGTAAGACCTCATGCCTGATGAAGCCTGGCCACTGAGAGTGTGCATTTTGGCAAGTGCTACATAAGTACTTGCCACAGTCTTGACAGTATACAACAGCTTGGGGTTTGTCCTCGGATTCACAATTCGTGCAAAACTGATATTGATCTTTCATGTCCTCTATCAGAGACTTTAAAGCTAGACTTGCCGGTAATTTGCTGACATCTTGGTTTGGGACCTGTGTTTCAGCCCTACAGACAGGGCATCGGAGCATCTGGTCGTTACCATGGCATTCCAAGAGGTTGTCCAGACAGGTCTTGCAGTAGGTGTGAGAACAAGACAGGATCTTGGGATCGGTGAAGGTATCCAGACATACAGGACACTCCAGACTGTGAGCAATGACATTCTTTAATGCATCAGCCATGATTCGAATTCTACAGGAATACGAGATAAAAGAAAAGGGAAAAAAACATGATTTGTGTAGCTTTGGTGGGACTCGAACCGCGAACCACGTGATTCACAATCACGCAACATATTCACTAGAATAAAACACATCACCTCTACATGTATCGTAACTAGTTATGCAAGTAGAACATTTTTTTAAAATATGACGTATAGAAGTCATAATACATTGCACCAGTTGAAGCACATGGAAAAAAAAACACAATTAAATATGAATCTCAGAAGTCTAGTTTACCATTTAAAAATTAAGTCTCATTTGTCATTGGAAAAATAATAATTCCATTATTTCTGTCATATATATTGATGGTGATGATGATGATGTCATATACCATGATTAATAATAGCTGCGCATGCACCGAGCGAAATAAACTTGATTTGGAATCTTATACCAAACGAGTATCAAACGTGTGCTTATTATCTGTCTCGAGTATTCATCTGTGTTTAAAAGTACAAAATACCAATTATTCGAAATTTGTAACTTTGAACGAAAACAAATATGATCCGTGATTTACATTGAGATATGATGAAGATAATAGGTTTTGAACGACTCTTAAACTTAATAGGCAACATTTTGTATTAAAGGCCCACTGCACTACTTGTAGCTACTTGCGCCCTCTATATAACAAACAATGCCTAATCGGTGACCATTGGTCCCCCATGATCCTCTTTTTCTTATGTTTTTTCAGAGCTGAGGTGATGAGATAACCACCTGTCCAGTGACCTTGCAGTGTGGTCTAATCCCTCCTTTACATATATTGATGAACTTTACTTTTAAAGCTGATGAAGTATCAAAAGCAGTACTATAAGCATGTTCTTATGCACACTTGAATATACTATTTAAAAAAAAGATTATTTTGATTGTACAGAGGCAATGATATTACCCTGATTTGTCAGAAACATTAGCTGAAATGTTAGCCGTGTTAAGAATCGCATAATTACGTGAAATATTTCCCAAGTGTATTCATATCTACATAACATGTAAGAATAATAATTCATGACATATCTTCGTAATTTAAATCACAATAACATACCAAAATTGTCACATTTCGCCTATGACAAACAGACACTGAGAAGTTATACGCGTGAACGATATCAATATGATCCCAAGGTTTTTTAATGCGACAAAAGTTACTTCCGGGTTCACGATCAAGGACATTAAATTATTATGGTCTAGTTTCAAAGCTCTGTTTTTATATTTTTATTGTTGCAGCCTTCTTTCTTCATGCCTCATGGTTTACCAAACTGATATCATTTACTAAACACACGTCATCCTCGTCTTGGTCTTAGCTCAATCGCTCTCCATTTATCACCTCAAAGACATCTAGACCCAGACCCAACTATTTCATTCTAAGGAAAATGATGATTTTACAAACCGGATTAAAAAAAAAAAAAACTCAAGAGTGTCTGGAAGTCTGCCTTGAATTGATATCTACGTCAATGTAAAACGCGAAAATATTGACAAATTTTACCAAATTTCTCTCGGATATACCACTGACATTTGTATTCACTCACCTCTTATTCCGTAACTATACGTATCGGCCTAGGTGTTATATGAAATCAGTAAACATGTACATGTATATACCCCTTGCCTTCTCGATGTAGTGGTACACTGATTATAAGTAGTATATACATTTTTGTATTTCGTTTGCCGATCTATTTTTGGTACTGGGAATTCCCAGCAACCTTTGACAGACAAGCATATTGAGGTTTGAATCGTCCTAAAAGTGATCGCCCAATACAAACTCGATCTCACTTGGATTGTTGGAGATGGCGCTAAACATTCTAAACATTTATTATAGTTCAATTACATGATGATTATTTGAACCTAAATTATATGTAGTATGTTGGTTACCAGGTAAAAAATAGCAATGGACTCAGAAATTGCTTATTTTTTTAAAGAATCGAAACAACTGAAAAATTGCTATCAATAGCAGAAAACTTTTGCTATTCAATGTTGATGTTACTAGTTGTATACCATTGCACCATTGTTACTTTATTTTAATGCGAAAATTGATAAGATAAGAGGTACTAAATTTACATCAAGGACAAAGATTGCTCTACTATTTCTTTGAGCACTTAAAAGTTTATAGAACATGTCAGTGTTTCTAATCTTGAAATATTTATATTATTCTGTATCAAACATGAATTTACATGATAATAATAGCTCACAAGCACCAGCTTTAAGCTAAACACTGATTCGGCCTTAGATTGATTTATAAAATCGAAATTAATTATAGTTCATAAAAAAAAAACAGGCGGAGGATCGCCAGTGAGGGCGATCACAGTCGTCACTATCCTTCCCCTTCCCCTTTTTGCTCGACTTAATTTTATGTCCTGGACGCCCCCCTGGTTCGACTTCTATATATTTTAGCCTGATGAAATTCAAGTCAACATCCTAAAGCCGGATGACCTCCTCTTTCTTAAAGGTAATGCAAAGTTTTGGGCAATTTTGAAAATTGGGTGGATAGTGATTCTTTACAATTTTAATATATTTGGATGCCCCTGTGAATGTATTATAAGCACTAGAAAATTTAGACTCTAAAATACTTCTGCTTTCGAGAAAAATTGAATATAAAAATTTACCGGTGCTCCCGGTAAATTTTGATACATTTCAAATAGCGCCTACGGCCGTACAGTAGTAGCTGCGACCATGAAAATTTTAGAATATGTAGTTGTGATATATAATTTCCAAACGGGAAGATAATCGGTAGATTTTAGTCAAGAAACACTGTTTTATAGCTTAATTAATATCTTGACCTTGAGAGGGAGCTATACAACATAAAGAGTTTGTTATTTCCAATTTCCTTACTTTAGACTTGATTTCAACCGCGACAACGATGACTGAATATTGTAGGATCGCATATATTTTCAATATGTTCATTTGAACCAAATTCATGATCCCATACCAAAACTTTGTATTACCTTTAATATGATCCACTCCCTCTTTAATAATATCCCGGAGCCGCCCCTTCTAGCCACTGATTTTAATCTGATAAATCCATAATTACTCCAGAAACGTCAACAGAAACCAAGTCTTTCATCCCAAACGATTCACCAAAAGTGAGCTTTGTTAATGTTGCCTCATAATTTTGTGGGTGTGTGTATATATATGTGTGTTTATTTATACATTTGTTTGATCGTTAAGCTTGCATCCTGAAGTTTCTCGTTTCCCCCAAACCTGGTGCGAACAGCTTGCGAAACTTCGCGCTCGACGTGAACGGTGCTGCCCTTGATTGTCAAATGCAGTTTGTTGATGAGGTCCATCCTGAGGAGTGTTCATCTTGTACGTACGGCGGAACATGTAGCATCGGCTTGTCGAGTGCCTACTTTGACCAGGGAGGTGAGACGTGTGCAGTACGTGCACCAAGTACTGGGAGGTCAGCTTGAGAGTTGTCGGATAACTTTATACTCTAGTTGGCTGAATGGCTTCTTTGATAAGATGTCTCTCGAGGACGGTCTGTGGGTTGATGGACACACTCGATCCGGTATCGACGGTCATGTCTATGTCCACTCTTCCAGCGAGCTGAACTCTGCATTTGACTGAGCTGGTAGGCTTTGAGTTTACTGTCAAGACTTTATTTGCAACGTCTTGTACTTCCCTTTTCCCCTATCATTTAGGACGAAAGTCATTTCGTACCCTGCCAGCACGAGTTTTAGTTTATTTTCGATGGGACACAGTGGTGCATCCCGGACCTTGGCCTCGTGCAGGAGGGGTAAAAATTCTTTTTATCAACATTTCACTTTATGAGTGCCTAGTGTGGTTTGCTGTCACCGATCGAGGGAGGGGGGGGGGGGGGTATTACCCGAAATGACTGTGAGAATATGACCATGGCGACTGCACCCCCTTATTCCCTAACCTGCTAACTATAAGTTTATAAATAGTTGTATATCTTTTTCTTGGTCGGCAATCTGTCAGGAGGGCCTAACTGCCTCCCTTGTCCCTCCTTCAAATTAGCCAGTGATGAGGCATGATGTAGTGTTAACTAAAAATGTTTTTTTATGAGCATTGGCTTAAAAAATGCACCACCAGAGACTGTTACCCTGAAGAATTAATGAGATAGCCTTAAAAAAACACTGCCCACTAAATATTGGAATCTGTGTGGAGGATATTCTAGAAGAGACGACCCTAAAACTCCGCCCCCCCCCCACAATAAATTATATTCCCATGAATCTCACACCTTGACTCATTAATCCTGAAAGATCTCCCAACAACAGCGCGTAGGAAGAATGGTACCATGACCTTGACATTTTATACCGCCAAAGAAAAGCTAGAAAATGCCTGTAAATTGTGACGTCATCATTTTGCGGAGTGAAAACCAGTCGCACGCGTATCGAGAAAAGACCGTCGGCGAACAATAATTATTAAGTTTTCAATTCCATTTATGATTCAGTTAAAACGGGGGGATGACGATTCTTCCATGGCCTTCAGGTGCTGTCTGTGCGTCACCTCCCTTTTGATGTTGTTTTCTTCCGATGGCACTTACCTGCAAGCTAGCCAAAGACAGATGGAATTCTAAGGGAGACATATCAACCCCGATAATCAGCATTCAGCAAGAACAT